TAGGGCTTGGAATATGTAGGGCAATAGTAGAACGCTTGCCTAGCAGCAGGGGAGCCTGGTTTCATTCCTTAGTTATGTGAGGTGACAGAAAAGTAATTAGATTTAATGTGATGAATACTTTAAAATGTATACATATATGTAATTATTAAGTTGAATACTTTAAATATACATGATTTTAAACTGTTAAATATACTTCAATAAATTTGGCAATGAGGGCAGAGAAAATAACTTGATCAAATTTGCATTTTACACAGTTCATTCTTACTGTCATCATTAAAATAAAATTTATATTCTTTGGGCTCTTTTCTGTATTTTTTTTTTTTTACTCACATTGAGTGTTGTCCTACAATCAGTTCATCTTGCAGCTTTTGTTTCTATTTCTGAATTTCCAGTCCAGACCTCTGACCCCATTTACCTCAATGCCAATTAGATGTCTCTTCTCTGGAGAGTCTTAGGAAATGCAGCATATTCCTAGAATGATATTTACCCTATGTTTCCCTTCCAAATTTTACATGTTTCATTTCTTTGCATATGAAATAGTGGTAGCTGGTACTATCATCTTTTAACTTGCTCCATACTAAAAACCTGAAAATCATCTGGACTAGTTCTGCAAGTACTGTCTGTATCCTGCCTACCAAGTGTTGCTCTCAAATATGTTTGGTCCCTTTCTTGTTAATGGTTTTGTTCTAGTACATCCTCTCTCACTTACACCACTGGTGTGCCCTGTTCACTCATTTCCCATCTTCCCTTAGTCATGCTTCCAGTAAAGTAAGAGGACTGAAGCTAGAATGACCTTTCTAAATTTCTAACTGGATCAAATGTCGAACTGGATCACACTGCAGTCTGCTAGGATCTGTCAGTCTTCTGTAATTAATTCATCCATAAACTCTCACAGGAAAATCTAAAACCATAAGGACCTTGCATGCATTTAATTATTTATTTGTTTATTTGTTTTTTAGTTTATTTGTTGCATCTTTACCCTTAGCTCTTTGCTTTCCCACAATCTCTAACTTTACCAGGCTACCAGGTTCCAGTAGTCCTCATGTTCAAAACTAGTAAGAACTCTTAGGCAAATATTCTTAAAGAAATATTTCCAGTATCTCCTTCTCTTGTACCCATATCTTTCACTTTTTATTTGTTCTTTTCATATTAAGAACTGAACAATATTTTTGAAATAGAAAAGAGGAAAATTTTGTGTGGATTATTAGAACTGCATAATTAACACTCAATGTGATTTACTGGCCATTCACTTAATATATATCATAGATTTTAAAGTGATTCCATAGAATGAGTCTACTTGATGTTAAAATGTTTTGTTTATAGATTTAAGAAAGGAGAGCCATGTCAAGACAAGCCTTGACACAGTACTAAGATAGTTAAGATTTTGGTGACCTAATTAGAGAAATGGGAAGTATAAATATTGAAATAATGTCCTTGCTTGAGTATTCACTTTCACATGTCAACTCATTTTTATATTAGAGGTTACATAACCAATCTTTTTTCCTACCTGTCATTTTTAACAATTTTTTTTCCATTTCATTTCCAAAATGTTCAGATATGTTATAATGATATAGGTTTTGCATCTGGGAACAACTAAATGTTACCTTTCTTTAGAAAAAAATAAATTTTACAAAATTAAATTACTTGTAAACATGTAGACAGCAAGAAATTATGGTGTGTGGGTATGTGTGTGTGTGTGTGTGTGTGTGTGTGTGTGTGTGTGTGTGTGTGTGTGTTAACTGTGAATTTGTATTAGATTATCAGTTCCTGCTTGCAATGGATTAAATGAAAATTATAGGCAGGCCAGAAATTGCTTTTCAGACTGATTATGCCATTTCTAATATCAGTAGTGATTTTACAGTTAAAAGTGTACACTGCTAAAGTTAAAATGGGAACAAAATTCATTTCACTGGACTCTGTTAAAAATAGCATTATCAACTATTTTGTGGTGTTTTCCCACACCAAATATTGAGCTGTCCTGAAGAAATAAACCTCCACTTGCTTTCATGACAGCAGATAATAAATTGGCTGATATAATTCAGCTGAGATGTTGAAAACTGCATTGAAAATAATGGTGCATAACATTTTAGGGTTAACATTTATTCATAGATGATGCAATTAAATAAAGCACACATTAACTTCAAGGTCAGTCAGTAAAGTAATAAAATTGAATATTTTAATTGAATTGTAATCGTTTTCCATTGATACATGCAACTAAAGTAAAATGGATGTCAGCTCTGCAAATTATAGTTCTTCCTCCTAATTAATTTCTTAATTCTGCATGGAGTTATCCAGTGCCTAGGTCTTGTTGTGGGTTTATTCACTCACCCAGCTTCCATCAAGGAATGTCTATAAGATGTGATTGAATGGTTAGATGTCAGAATTTACAGTAAATCTTTTCCTGTACCTTAGAGAAAATCTTATTAGTAACTTAAAATAATCTCGTGCCTGAAAATTAAAGAATGCTTGAAATTAAATGACATCCCACATGCTCTGGACTGTTGTCTTCTTTGTTAATATTTTATTTCTTGATATCACTATTTATATCATCATTAATAAATGGCCCAGTGACTAAAGTTCTTGGGAGACATAAATACATTAAGACAGCACTCCATACCTGACTATTGAAGAAGATAAACTTAGAAGATTCTGTGAGATTTCTGTGAAGCGCTGTTTGTGTGTATTCACGACCTAGGCTTCACTGGATAAACAGTCACTAACTAAATAGAGTGAATCTAAGCAAGAAATGTCCTTCTGTCTTGTGGAGTGTGATGAATTGAAGCTTTTGGAAAAAGTTTGCATTAAAGAGTCTATGACCTTATCTGTCTTTTTCATAACCATCCCAAAGTGTTTAATGTAATGTAGTTTTATATAAAATAAATGAGAAACATGTAATCACAAAGACGTTTTCAATTACATTGACATTGTGTTGAATTTAGATTCTGTTTTTTTTTTAATTTTTATTTAAATTAGAAACAATCTTATTTTACATATCAATCCCTCCCTCCCATTCTCCCAAGCTCCCCACCAATCCCCACATCCCATCCTTCTTCTGCTCCATAGAAAGGGTAAGGCCTTCTATGGGGGAATCATCAAAGTCTGGAGAGATGACTCTCCCATTAAAGACTGGGCTCACAACCAAAAATAAAAGGATTCTGTTTTGTTTTGTTTTGTTTTGTTTTGTTTTGTTTTAGAAGGAGACTATTATACCCTTTAGACCAGGTGCATTAGTTGTTAAATAACTATTTTTTAAATTTGACCATATAAGATGGATTTGAATATTACCTAATTCTTGTCATTAATAAGACTTCAAGTAGTTCCACATAATAGAATCATTTCAGCACAAACCAAGCTGTGTTTCAGGACTACCGTTTAGTTGCCACTTCTCCCAGCAAAGTAAACAAGTTAAACCCAGAAGCAATGCATGCTTTCCAAGGTTCATTCTTAATTTCAACTCAAGCATTGACTTGATTATATTGAGTATATTTTATTAACACTACTCTGACCCTGAGCTTCAATTCTCAATTACAAACGTTCTTGAATATCAGAGTTCTCTGTGACTAACATACAGTTAGAAATTCCTAATCCCTGAAAGGAGTAGAGGAAGGGGAAACTGTGATATATTGTGTGAGAAATATTTTAATAAAAAAAAAGAAAATCATGCATGAACACAAAAAAAACCCAAAAGACAAAATTCTTAGAGCTGCATATTTATTGAAAATCAGATGGTAATTTTATACATTAAGGAGATCCATTTTAAGACATTCTTTGTTAACAAAAGTAAATTATATACAAACTGTACATGGAATAATAAAATGTCTCTAAATAAGCAAAATTTAGAAAAATATGTGAAACTGTAAGAAAATTAAGGATTCAATTTTATAAGGTTTTCATTTACATGTTATTTATAATTTAAGGAGTCATTGTTGCCCTTGGAATTAAGTTTATTTTGAGCTCTTCTGCATCTAAATATTTTGGGGTTATAGGACAGGTAGTCTTCCTTCCTCATCTACAACTAGTAATGCCCCTGAAGTGAAGTCTGGGCAGATTTAAAGGTATCAGTAATGAGTGACTTAGGCCATTGCCTTCTCAAGGACGTTAGCAGAAACCTCTAGAGATCTCTGGCCCTTATCCAAGATGTTTTCTAAAAACAACTTGAAATGCATCTCTTATGAATAGTAATCATGAGGTCCCTAATGATTTGTAACTTTCTGATGTACAGAAAAAAGAAATGAAGCAAATGTGGAAATGTTTCTGATGGAGTTTCCTGCCAAATGTGAGAAGTGGAAGACCTAAGTAGGCATTATTGAGGACAGTTCAACATACAAGCCTGACATTACTTTTACTATATACAGTGTTGTTTAATATAGAAAGGTCTATATAGAAAAGTGCTCAGGTTACCATATTAAATTGAGACACTTTTAAGTACTCAAATTGGGATATTTTTGGTAATGAATTATAGACTATTTAAATAGATACTTTGTTTTGAGATTAACTATGATTTGATTTCTTAGTTTGAATGTATCCATATTGTACCGATAAGTGAATTAATTTTATAGGTGTAACAGTCTAACACTATTCTTTTTATTCTTTTTCTATAATTACATTTAAAGTTAAAATAAGAATAAAACAGAAGGATCACATTGTTGTCTTTAAATAAACAACTAAAATGCCTAGGTCTTGCATTTCCTGTCTTTGAAATTATATTATTTTCATCTTAATTATAACCCCCTCAAAAAAGAAAGTAAAATTAAAGGAAGCACCTGCCTATTAACACAACTGAAATAAACTCAAACTTGTTTTTTAGGAGCAAGAAAGCCAACTATCCCAGGGAAATGGGAAGTAATGGTGGCAAAGCACATTTAAGTTTAAAATCAAAACAATTTAAAATGCATATACATTGCTTTCTTAGGTGAGGAGGAGTCAAGGGAAGGGAAGTGTGCCTTTATAGTTCTAACCTGACACTTACCTGAAAAAAAAATATTAACTTTTCCTGACAGGCTTAGATCCTGATAAGCATCTTGGGAAAACCCTGCGTGAAATGGAGCCTTATCTTTTTGAGGTAAGAATTTATGTCCATCTTCAAAATATCAGTATATGAAGGAGGAAAGTAGTACCATGACATAATGACTATAAGAATGAACATTGCTTCAGAAAATTTTAGATGCATTCATTTTATTTTTTGTGAAAAGGTTAAACTTTATAGTATCTATAGAAGTGTGTTTAAAATTACTTAAGATGATCCCCAGTCGGTTGACCCAAACTAGAATGAGTCTGTAATTGTAAGAGTAAGTATGTGCAAAGGAAAATGCTGTGAGAACATGCTTTTGTTAAAATAGACGCCATGTGCTGTAGGACTAGTGCTGGGATTCTGATGGACACTTCTGCAGAAGCACAGTCTCTCTGACTTGGACTCAGTGTCGAGTGCAGGAGTAGGAGTTTCTGCAGGAACTGAATCCAGTCCTCTTTACAAAGAATAATGTACTTTCCAAGAATCAAAGGAATTATCCCAACATGTCAAATAAGCACCTTCATCTTTACCATTCCCAAGCCTGAAATATGTGCTACATAATAATTAAAAAAAAAAGAACAAAAATGTCATTATTTGTTCCTGTTAATTACTGAATTATAATTGAGAATGAGAGCTAATGTTGGATTTGATACTGCATGGGTTCAGTCACTGAAGCAGTGTAATTGTTAAGTTGTGAGATTTTTAACCTACAGTCAAGAGATGTAGACAGTGAATGTTCTATGCAAGAACTGACCTCTGCCTAGTGTTCTGTCCTATAGCTTGTTCTTTCTGTCTTTGGGTGTTGTCAGGGAGAACACTAGGCCATGTGTATCTATGATACACGCACAAACACACACACACACACACGTGAATTTTATGTTTAAACCAAGGACTTAAACAAGAATATCTCACTATGTATGTACAAAGATTGCAAAAGCTGAAAATTGAAACACTTCTGGTCCCCAGAATTTTAGATATTCAATTTATACCAACATATGAAGTAGAAGAAACAGGTTTTCAGACACTAGTCTCCTTCCTTTAGAGTATATCTCAGCTAAAGCTTTTCTGGGAAATTAAAGCCACATATCGAAAAGTTCTGAATACTGAAGTGAGGATTATGTAAACAATGAGGAGTAAATGAAAACTTTCAAAGAACAGTTATTATAAGTAGTTTGACCTGCAATACCTGATTGTTGTATTTAAAGAGAAACAATAAAAGTCATGTTAGTTCTCAACTGTCCCAATTTGTGGCCCTCATATTTTTTCTGAATGTATATTGTAAATGAGCTCTTGGTCTCTATTGTCTTGTGGTACTTGTAGAATTGAATATTGAGTATTTTCAGAATCAACCCATGTTACCAGTTCTGTGTAAATGCTGATATAAGAAGAAAGCAAATTGAACACTCTGTGTTTTTCATGGAATATGTACTATAGCAAGTAAGAGAAGAAAAACCCTAAAAACCTGCATCAGATAAATCAACCTGGTTCCTAATGTAAGCGCTGTTAGATGGAATAGAGCCACAGGTCCTGGAGTAGCTGATAAAAGATCTTAAACAGATTTGAATGATGGGTGAAATTTACCTGGGCAGTGGCCACAAAGTAAATCAATATGAATGAAGACTCATTAGCAGGAAGACACACAGAGACAAGAAGAAACTTGGTCTAAATGAAATTAAACTGATGTTGATAGATTGATAAGGAAAAGGTAAGATGAAAATATAGGGCAGTCTTGAAGGGCCTTCAGGGATGGACTAGGCAATTTAGGATAAGAAATAATAAGATTTAGAGGACTTTGGAACAGAGATTCATATTATATAAAAAAAAAAAAGCTGAGGAAATAATAGTCTAACAGTAGTATTCATGAATTAGGAGTGGAAAAATTGTAAGTAAATTCCATGAAGCTGTTATAGGAAACAGATGTGTGATAGACCTATATGGAAATATTGTAATAGGAAGATGAAAAGACATTGGCATCAAAATTTCACAGCTGGAAAATGAAGAATCAACAGTTATTCACACACAATAAAGGAAATCAGAAGCACTTATTATTACAGGCGACATCAGAGTTTAGTGAAAAACCATGACAAGCTTGATCATAAACATACTAGATTTTATGTTATAACATGTAACCTGAAGGCAATGTTTTTAACCCATGAGACAGGAGTGCAATTGAGATGGTCAGCCAGAGGATCAAAGTTTGTTATTTGTCAGTGTGTTGCAGATAGTCAGACAATGACCAGACTCATGGGTGCTTCCATTCTGTGTATGAAGCAATTGTAGAATACTGCTTTCACTCTATCCCACATGAGTTTCATCCTCTCATAATTGAGTTGTGAGGTAACTCAATGCCGAGTGCATACCATGTGCTAAGTGGTCTTCGTGCATGACTAGTTATTATAACAAACCTATGAGAATGCAAGTATTAGTGTAGCATTTTCTGTTGAAGCATCACTTCACAGGGGAACCTTCCCAAACTCACATGGCTAGGGAATATCAGAAATAAAATTTGTGTCTAAGCATAGCTTACTTCAGAGCATTGGCTGTGTTCTACTCATACGTCATTTTGAGTTTTTAACTATAATAAGAATAGCATTGCCTTAGCCATAGAACAAGTACTGTGAGCAGTAATTAGCAGCAGAAGAGCATCAGTCATGGCAGAAGCCAGGAGATTCGTGCATATGAGAGGGAATACAATGACAAAAGGTCATACTACAAAGAGATCCATCAAGGGGTATGTCATCAAGGAAGAGCAGTAGGAAAAAGAATGAGAAAAGATTATCTTCAAAACTACAATAACATGGAAGCCCACAGAAGTCTATGAGAAAGACATGAGAGGCAAATAATGTTACAGACCACAAAAATTGGAAAACTTGCAACAATTGCTAGCAGTTAGTAGTCTACCATCCACCCAGTTTCCTAATGTAGATAGGTGGACATTTTCCTTACTCGGTAATACATTCCATCAATCATTCATGTTGATGGCATTCAAAATTGATGTCTCAAAACAAGGTACCTTGATATTTGAGCAGCATTAAAGGAAGGTCAATCTGACCTTCTTTGCTATTCTCCCTAGAGCAGGCAATGAAGGAATACTTTGACCTTCCTATAAAGTATGAGATTTCCATTGCAGATGTGCCCTTCCCATACCTGGAGGAAGGGAACATCACATAGGAGTACAGGAAAGAACCCAAAACAGACAGTGCTGCTCTTTTTAGGACCTGTTCATCTGCTCACACTGCAAATCTGTATCTCTAAACCAATAGGATTAGATACCCAATAAATAGAATGCAACACGAAACTTTTATTGCCCATCCCCTATAAAGTGATTAATGACTACCTTAAATGCCATCCTAAAGCCTTCATCCAGTAGCTGATAGAAGCAGAATCAGACATCCGCAGCTAAGCACTGAGCCAAACTCCTGGAATCCAGTTGTTGAGAGGGAGGCTGGATGAGCAAAGAGGTCAAGACCATGCTAGGGAATCCTGCAGAAACAGCTGACCTGACCAAATGGGAGCTCATGGACCCCAGTCTGACAACTGGAGAACAGCATTGGACTGAACCAAACCTCCTGAATATGCGTGGCAATTAGGAGGCCTGGACAGTCAATGGACCTCTGACAGTGGAACCAGAATTTATTCCTAGTGCCCTCCCCAAAATGATGTGACAGACTTTGATGTTCACCCATGGAAGACCTCACCCTCCCTGACCGAGTGGATTGGGGAGGTGGTCAGTGAGGGTCATGGGAAGATGGGAGGGAGTGGGAACTGGGATTGATATGTGAAATGATTGCTTGTAATTTAAATAAAAATTTATATTGAAAAAGACCATCATTTATAAAATAAAATTTTAATAGTTTGTATAAACCCAGTGGTCTTCTCTAGATATAAGTGTATATGAGAAGTCCATTTGCTTTGGCTCCCCCCATCTTTGGTTTTAGAATGAATAGCAGATAAGTGGGATTTATTTTAAAATAAACCATCATGATTTAATAAGAAAATTTTATAGTTAATATTGTCTGTTAAGGGGATAAAAATTTAAACATGGAGATTATGAACTCCTTACTTTTTCTGTAATTATTCATATACAAGTAACACTATTGTGAATGTGCATATTACTTAGGCATACCCCCCAAAACAAATTTTTGTTAAGTCATTCCCTTTTCATATGTTGGGAATTCATTTTTAAAGTGCTGAGGTTCCCAAGTATTTCTATAAGCCAGGAATGGCCCGAATCAACCACATCTGCTGCTCCAAAAGTTTTTTCAAAAGCTTATTCTAATAATTATATGGCAAACCAATGTTCTCCTCTGCCCATAACTCATTTAGAGGAGAGTATTATTTAGATATCTATGAAACATTAAACATGCTTTTATGCAATGAAAATTACTTCTTATTAAAAACAACTTATTTCCTAACCAAGCAAAGTGCAGACAAATAGCAAATGTGTCCATCTTACTGGCCATCTGCTCTCTGTAATTTTCTTATAACTTAACTCCCCAAATGATTAAATGTGAGAAAGGAGAAAAATAGTGGTATCACATATTCAATAGCTAATAAGAAAAACATTGATTATTCCCTGGATTAGATCTCCAGAAATGGGAAATTTGTATTTTCTTCCCTAGAGTAGAATGAAAAACAACAGTAACTTCTCTTTCTTATCCTTGACAGACAGGGGCAATTTGTTTCTGGTTCAAACTGAACTTGTCAGTGCATACCAATCAGACTTTTCTTACGGGGCATGCTCACATCTGAACCATAGCAGGAGGGCAGTTGACTGTAGAATACTATGTGTGATACAATATTCAGAGGGCATGTGCGAGTGTCCAGAAAATGAAAAACCATAAAGTCAGGTGGCATAAAAAGCCACACATGAAAAAATTCTACATTCCAGAGATAACATGGAATTGAAATACAGAAGTAAGTTTTAGAGCAAGATAAGGTGCTATGGCCTGGTAAGACTGATTATCTGTAGAAGAGAATGAAACTCATTTAGGACTTATGTTCATTACTTCAAATTTTACTTTACAAAATTTTCCTTTTAATTTTCTCAAGTCAATCAGGGTCTTTCCAAAATTGCTGATCACTCCAATGGCTACATATTCATGTGTAGGATGGGACAAAATGCTGAAAACCTTTGGTTATGGGTAAAATAGTTCATTTTTACAGAGTAGGCAATGACTGGACACCTAAGGTTTTAGTTGAAGAAGATTGTACATATAGTATTAAGGAAAATTAGTAAGGTTATAACGTGTTGGGAAAATCAGGAAGGTGAATATAGAAAGCAAGAGAGGAGCTAGGATTTGAGAGTTGAGGTGAAAAGTGTTCCTCAGGGCCTTAAAATGGAAGATGGGGTGCATTCTCTACCGTGTTCATGGTCATACATTCTCTTCGTTGTTCACTGCCATACTTCTAGTATCCATCATAGAATCTGCAGCTACGAAGTTCTGACCTAGAATCTGCAGCTACGAAGTTCTGACCTAGAGCTGTTGAGTCAGTAAATGAATTGATGAACTTTGAAAAATCAGCCTGCATGTACAACAAAAGCACAGAGTTAAGCTCTACACTAGTATTTCACGTCTCTTTTCCATTGTTGGTAGCTAGGGAATTGGGGTGTGAGGAGCTAAAACATTGTTTTATTCATATTTAATGTGAAAGAATGTAAAGAAAGAAAAAAATAAATCTTAAAAAGAGATAGAAAAGAGTAACAAAATTTCAGCATGAAGCTAACCTAAAGAAAGAAATCATTTGGTGTTTTCCTTGCAGTAATGCTGACAGAATCTTATCAAGGAAGAATTAAGTATAATATATGATGACCCCAGTTTTTAAGATACAGCCAGACCCAGAGAACAGGTGTTGCTTACTGTGTACAGTATAAAAATGATTTACAAGTCCTAGAAAAGTAAATTAGATATATACTACATGAACATTTCTCCGGAATGTATACTTTTGGTTCCTAAGCTTAGGAAAACTTCAGGAAAGTAACATTTTCTGTACAATATATATTTATTGCTTTTGTATTCCAAGAGTCTTGTGTTTTATAGAGTGCCAATTCCCTGAACAAAGAAGATATTTATGAAGAAGATGCTGCCATGTTACCAAGAGCCTTATAGCTGACATTTGTAACTCACTCATGAACCTAATTGAACTTAGAGAAGCAACAGAAATACCAGGATTCAGTAATAATACTTATTGATTTGTCAGCCTTAGAGACCACTGGGGCTTTTTACCAAATTTCATGACTGGAAACCTGTATTTCCATACTGGTAAATTAATAATAGAGGAGGGAAGGAGGTTCTAAATATTGGTTGATATCACTGTTTGATCATTATTTAGTGTTACTATAGTATGAATTTCAAGATCTGAAGACATTGTCTTGTTTTTATCTTTTTCCTCTCTCAAGGCTACTCAATAGGTGTTTGTTGAAGAGATGATTGATAGGATAAGTAAATATTAATAATATTTTGTGTAAGTGAAGGATATTGAAGGTCATATACAGATGCCATGGTTTGCCTCTTAAAAGTAAATGTGGAGTTAACATAGCAGTTTATGTTTACAGGGGACTAACAGGACCATTTCCGTAGGGTGTAACAGCCACACAGACTTTAACACTTCAGTTACTCTTTGTATTATAAAAACAAAAAAGAGTTTTCAATGAGGCATTTTCCAGTAGAGAAAAGCTAACTATTAATCATATATAATCTTCACATAGACTGGCCACTAAGTCATAAAAGTGAAATTAGAAGGTCCATGGTGGGAGTTGTTGGAAAATCTGTAGAAAACCAAGTGCAGAACAAATAAATCCACATCTTGTTATTGTTGGTTTTTATTGCAGAAAAAATATTAATTTAATTTAGTTTAGTATGACAAAGCAGTCTTGTCCTATTATCTGGCCCTATAAGGACTACCCCTTATAATTTGGCCTTGCAGAGTCTCTGCTTTATAACCCAGGCAAAACTTTATCCATCTTACCCTTTAGAGCCCTTATAGAATATACTATCCCATTCTCCTTCGCACACTCTCCCTGCTTTGCAGTGTGTCTTCCTTAGGGTTTTTATTGCTGTGATGAGACATCATGACCACAGCAACTCTATTAAAGGCAATAGTTAATTGGGGTGGCTTGTTTACAGTTTCAGAGGTTCCATCCATTATCATTATGTCAGGGAGTATGGCAGTGTGCAATGCTAGAGTAGTATCTGAGTCCTACATTTTTTCAGGCAACAGGAAGTCAACTGAGACACTGGGCAGTATCCTGAGCTTAGGAAACCTCAAAACCCACCCCTAAAGTGACATACTTCCTCCAACAAGGCCATACCCACTCCAAGAAAGACACCCCTCCTAATAGTGCCACTCCTTATGATGTTATGGGGGCCGGTTACATTCAAAATACCACACAGTGCCATTCACATTACTTCTGACTCTCATTGTGAGAAGTAGAATGTTCATAGATCCAAATTGAAGCCACACAGTCAGAATAGTACACAACTACAAAAATTCTCAAATACGCTTGTAACCAGCAAGGAAAGCTGAAGACTTAGGAAGCAACTACATTATTGATAGTAGGAAAAAGAATCTCTCCTCTGAGCTGAAAAGGATTTAGACTTGTGGTACTTATGTGCATGAAAAGCTACTCCATTCTGAATCAGGGAGCTGTGGAACTGTGTTGACAAAGCTTCCACAGAGAATCTGGAAGATCAGTATCAATGACAGCCTGTGCAAGTGGCCTCAACATTGTAGTCCATTGTGTATCAACAAAGCGTTTTCACTCTCAACGTCAAGATCATCATCACATAACAGCTCTTAGTTCAAACAAATAATACAAAGGGTTTTATTTGTTGTTTTGGAGATTTTTGTTTTGTTTTGCATTGTTTGCTTGCTTTTAACTTTAGATTTTATTAGATAACTTTGTAAACTGAACCTTATTAAGACTTAAGGACTTTTTAAAGACCTTTTACAGATTTGGAAGTTCACTGGTTTTTAGTACCCTATAATAGTCATTAAAATAACAGCCTCTTATATAATGTATATGCTTTCTTTTTGTTTATAGTCCTAAGAAAATGTTTAGTTTTAATTGTCTGATAAATTTTTCAATAACATTTCTGCCCCTTCCAAATCAAAGAGCAGGAGGTATATGGTTAGGCCTTGTCCGTTCTCATACTAACTCCCCTACCTTTGAATCTAAAGGAAGTATCAATGCGAAAATTTATCATATCTTTAAGTGTTATTCATTGTAAATAAAAATTCTCATTCATTCTAAGTTTTTAACCAGGATTTGAAATTACTACAGTGCTTTATGGAAATATTTTTCAAATGACCTCTTTAAAGGCATGTCTTAAGCAAAGGTAATTTTCTATAGCCTACCATGTATTTTAGAATTAGTATCCTGCATTTGTTTTCAGGGGAGGATAGCCTGATAAATGAGTATTTTGAAGATGCCATTTTAATTTTTCTTTTGTTTTCCTGATTCTCAGCTTTCTAAAAAGTATGGTGTTCACGTATGTGGGGAAGGTGGCGAGTATGAAACATTCACTTTGGATTGCCCTCTATTTAAGAAGAAAATCGTTGTGTAAGATACCATTTCAGCATCTTCCTTTTTCTTAAATTTAAGTGATAGAAGCAACTCAGCATTTAGCTTGAGGCAGCTTTGGTTGCAAGAAATAAAACATGTCCCTTAAGTTCACAAACACTCAATTTGTTTAATCCCAAGGAAGTCGTGTGAATACTTAAATCAATACCTGACAAGAAGAGGCCTTCATAGAGGGCTGTAAACTTTTTAGACATTGCACTTTCGTTTACTTGCTGATTACGGCCTGCAGTAAAACTGGTGCCTACACACTGACACTTTTATCCTTTCCTGAAGTGTGAATTGCCTGTATTATTTATCTTTCATTACGGCTACGTTTGATAAACTACCACATCAGTAGCCTGTGGGTTCCATTAACTCTGTCTTCTTTTTCCTCTTTCTTGGCTTTAACAAGTTAGAATGATGAGACTAGACATTTCTCTTCAGTTATTGGGGGGGAGGGTATTTTTACATATAAACTTTGTTTTGAATCAGATTCAATTTATGGTGAGCAGTGTGGTACCTCTGCCATAAATCGTAAAAATTAGTATAATGAAAAAATGGGAACTTAGTCTCTAGCTCATCACTTTATTAGCTGTGTTCTTCACTATGCAACACCTCTCTTAAATGTTGGGGGAGCATTTCCTCTGTTCTTTTTGTTTTGTTTTATTTTGTTTCCCCTAAGCTCATGCTTCTATGACTTTGAGGCTAGCCTGTTCTCTAAAGTAAGTCCCATGGCTACACAGAGAAACTTTGTGTCTGTAAAACAAACAAAAGAAAAAGACTTGAATTCTTTGAACAGTTAATAATGGGCAAGGGAATAATCTGGGACATTAAGACTAACACTATTGGCCAGGCAGTGGTGCTATACACCTTTCATCCCAGCACTTGCGAGGCAGAGGCAGGATGTCTATGAGTTCTGAGGCTAGCCTGATCTACAAATCAAGTTCCAGGACAGCCAGAGCCATTACACAGAGAAATAGTTCAACATCTTCTTTGTAGCTATAGAAACTCAAATCTGATCCATATGATAACATAGGAATATTCGTTCTGCCATTGAGGAAAGGTGTCAGAGGAGGTTTATTTAACTGAACCATTCTTCCTGACCCTCCTAGTTCTCTGTCTCTCTGTCTCAGTGTGTGTGTGTGTGTGTGTGTGTGTGTGTGTGTGTGTAGAGAGAGAGAGAGAGAGAGAGAGAGAGAGAGAGAGGGAGGGAGAGAGAGAGAGAGAGAGAGAGGAAAGACAAGCATGACACAGCATGGGTGTAGACATCAGAATAATTTGTAGGAGTGGGTTCTCTCCTTCCTCCTGTATACTTTCTCCTTCTCTGCTGTTTTTCCTTCCCATTTTATCTGGGAGCATCTGTGTTGATGTAATCTATTAAAGCTAGTTATACCTTTTTATCAAAAGCCTGATTTTTTTTAAAGGGTCAATTTGTATAAGTTGTTTTTCTTCCAATATTGTCTTTTTAATGCCATTTTATATAAATATACAAAGTGCATATTTGATGGTAAGCATTTATGAATAGATATTGTGTTTTTAACCATCATGTAAGAGTTTTAATTTTTTACATCTTGCAAATGAAACATTTTCTTGTGAAAATTTAGTATTCTGGACCCAAATATTTTGTGGTTCTTTCTATTGACACTGCATAACTTTCTAATCAAAAAAACCTCATTCAAATATGTTTTAAGCTATTTGCAAAGAGTTGAAGTAAAACTCTGGACAGATGGCTTAGTTTAACTGTTAAGAGCATGTGTTGCTCTTTCAGAGGATCCAAGTTCAGTTCCCAGCACTAACATCTGGCAGCTCACAGCTTCCTGTAACTCCAGACCTGCACAGGCATTGTGCTCACATGCACAAACCTACATAGAGATATACAAACTTTAAAATAAAGTAAAATCAGAAAAATATTTTGAATTTAAGGAATTCAGAGTCAAAATAACTGAACTAGAAAGATGATTCAGCAGTTCAGAGCACGGGCTGCTCTACCAAAGGACCCAGGTTCAATTCCTAGAACCCACATGGTGACTCAAAATCATCTTTAACTCCAGTTACAGGGGATCTGATGCCTTTTTCTAGGATCTATGGACACCATTCATGCACATGGTACATATATGCAGACTAAACACTCATACACACAAAATGAAAATAAGTGGGTTTAAAAGAGAGAGAATTAAAGATGAGCTTTCCAATCTTGCAATGCCCAGGTGCTAATATTAATACACACAATGGAAGTAATTCATGAGAAATTAAAAGAGATATAAAGAATTTCTATTTTCCCATTTTCAGTTGAAATGCAAATCGTTATCTGAATAAACAACAAAAATCACTAGTTATTATAATTTCACAGATATTATTAGTTATTTATAAGTTCTTTACAGGGTATCTTTATTAAAACTTGAATTAATTTACATGTACCCAGAAGGTGGCAGCAAGCAGTTCATACCATGTTACCTGTATGTGGTTCAACAAGCAGTGTTGATATAGGGATCCTACAGTGTGAAGAGTTTAGCCAGAGCCTACCACGACCAACCAGCTTGCTTTTGTGTGTTGGGGGGGGGGGATACTTAGACTGACTGTATATGAAGCACTGAGTCTTAAAAATAAAGGCGAACTGAAGCCTAAGCAATGAAGTTTCATGTTTAGCCCATGCCAAGCACATTTGTGAAATGAAATTCAACAGTTTCGGACCTCCAAATCATTCAGAGCTTTGTGATTATAGCATGAACTGTGGGCCCCTTTACATAGCAAAAGCATCAGTGTTTCCTAGTATTGGAGGGTTTCAGGCCTCTTCCCTCAGCAGCAGGAGTGATTACCCACAAGGTGTAAGGAGTTGGGCTTTTCCGCCTGCCGCTGGTCTTGTCCCACGCCAGCCCCAGTTAACACTCAGAGACTCTGTATTTGATATAATGCTGTTGGCCAGGTACTAGTTTCTTATCGGCTAGCTCTGTCTTAAGTATTAACCCATTTCTGTTGATCTATGTATTTTCATGTGGTCTCCTTACCAGGGAGTGGGGCAGGCATCTGGTCTATCAGGTCTCTCCATGCTGACTCCTCCTTCTTCCTTTCTCTTTTCTCCTTGCCTCCTAGTCCCTTCTGTCTTCCTTACCTATTGGCCAACAGTGCTTTATTCATTAACCAGTATGAGAAATATATATACATAATGACATCTCCCATCACACAAGGTATGGATTTGGTAAGTACACTAAATTGTCTGTGTTGCAGGGACTCCTCACAAGTAGTCATCCACTCTGCTGATGCATTTGCACCTGTGGCTTATCTTCGACTTTCAGAGTTGCACCTGGAAGAAAAGGTAAGTCACTATCAGATTGCACATTTCAGACAAGTAAGTGGTATGCCTTAGTTCTGTTGTGTGATCCTGTAACAGGAGGCAGTGGAGCAGAGAAATAGATTTATTCAGTCAACAACTTTTAGTTTTGAGGATGTTGTATAACACAAAAAGAGCCTTACACTCTAAAGAAATTGAAAGTTAGTTGAAAAAAGAATGATAAATACTTAAAAAAAAAAAAACAGTATAAAACCAGTAAGTCATCTAGCTTGATAATCAGGTTGTTGTGCATAAGAATTTGGGGTAAGACTGGTGGATTTTCATTATACAAGGCTTTCAAGGGAAAAAAATAAAAAAGGAGAGAAAAGGTTTTAGGAAGCTATAAATGTATAAATGCTATAAATGAGAGAATTGACAAAAAGATGGAAAAATGAAACAAAATGCAGTAAAATAAAACATGAATTTTATTTCAAATACATTGGTGATCAGGATGGAGCAGATGCCTGTTCAGTCTGTATTTAGAGGTAGGATAAGATCTGTATTAGATGTTTGTATGAAAGACATAGAGAGGTTACCCTCTGTTTTTACTCATGTAAGGAAAGAGAGTCATAATAGAAAACACAAATAATAGGAAAAGGTCTTATGTCCTGTTTTCTTGCCCAATTCCTGAGGCATACTCATATCTGTCTGTAACAAGGAATCTTCTCACAATGATGTTTTCAGGTTAAGACAGCTTCTTTAAAAGTAGAATGAAAACAGTGGTCCCCAATCTCAGAAGAGTACTTACTAGGGCCAGCAAGATGACTCAGCAATTAAAAGTGAAGGTGTCAACCATGAAAGCTTCGTTCTCTCTCTCTCTCTCTCTCTCTCTCTCTCTCTCTCTCACACACACACACACACACACACACACAACACACATTATGCATGTCAGTCTCCCAGAAAAACTACTGATGAGTAAGATTGGATGGCTATAGATTACTGGAATAGGCTAAAAGTAACCTTTTATCAAAAATTAGTTTTGTTCCATGCAAACACCTTCCAAATTTAACAAAAGGGCTCCTTTCTTTAGCCCTCTTCTGCTTTAGCTGCCATGAGCACAGCTAAGAATCTAAAACACTGAACTCTTCCTTAAGCATTCCTCTCTTATTTTTTATTTACTTTATTTTATTTTAAAGCACATCTAAGAATGTTCTTTAAAGTGTCTTAAAAACCCCGAGTAAAAATATTTCTTAAATAACCCTTTGTCCTTTGAATACCTATAAGAAATGGCATTGTCTGAAACAAATATGTCACTTAAAAAACACAAAAGCAGAATACTGAGGGAGCAAATTTAGCTTAAGTGCAGAAAAACATACAGAAATTATTTCCACTAAATCTTAATTTAGTAGCATAATAGGACTCCTAAACTTTTCTTCTATTGGTGCACGGTTCTGAATGTAAAGAATCAAGCCTATAGCTATGTCCTGATGCTCTGCTAAGATGTCTAGCCTATTTTCTTCACCATGTAGCTAGGGTTCTCTTGCTATTTCATTGTCTTCACAGGCCAATAGCCCACTGCAGATAACTATAATTCTTGGAGATATGATGCTACTGACATTAGTAATAAGTCACATTTTCCTTCTGTTTCCTTATAGGTGTCTTCAGTACCTGGAAATGGTGAAACAACCAGTTATATACACAATTCTTGAAATTTACACTTCATTTTAAAATTTATTATAACCAACTTCTCTCATTACATTTTTTATACTTCTTCAAAAAATATAATGGGACCATTGATTAACTGGAAGAACTTCAGTGAATCCTTCTCTAATATTGCCCATTTTCTCAACTTTCTTTTCTTTGTTAAAAAAAATAATTTCTTTTATTTTTGAGATTATACTATAATTATATCATCTTCCCCTCTTTTTTCCTCCAAACCGTACAATATACCCCTTGTGGCTCACTTTCAAATTTATGGCCTTTTTTTTTTCATTACTGTTGTTATATACCTCACTCTTTATATGTCTCTGTTTCTGTCTGTGCTTCTCTCTCTCTCTCTCTTCCTCTCTCTCTCTCCCTCTCTCTTTCTTTGTGTGTGTCTGTTTATGTGGAAAAAGACTCCGCATAAACACACAATACAAGCTGCTCAATCTATAACATTACCTGTATGTATGGTTTGAGGACTACACATTTAGTATTGGATACCAATTGCTGTGCTCTTCCCTGGGGAAGACATTTTCTTGTCCTCTCAGTAACCCTTGGTAGCCTGAAGTTCTGTATGCAGGGTTGAGGCCTGTGAGCTTTCATGTTCACTTCAGCATGTCTGTTGGTGTCCTCCTTGTTGAGCTCATGTTTAGGCAGCTATGTTAATAAGACTTCATGGGCACAGCTTCTAAGATTCCTGGGAGAAGCGAACTCCCTGACCCTCAGGCTCTTACAGTCTTTCCACCTTCTCTTTACTTTCTTCTTTAGTAACAAGTCTTTATTACCCTTTTTTTATACCCAGTTCTCTCTTTCTGACTTTGGGGGGGGCGGGTTTAAGACAGGGTTTCTCTGTAGCTTTGGCTTTTAGTCTGTCCTAGAAATAGAGATCCACCTGTCTCTTTCTCCCAAGTGCTGGGACTAAAGGCATGATCTACCACTGCCCAACAACATTTCTTTTTCATTTGTTTCCTCCCTTTCTTTATACCCCATGTCATGGAGAAGAGGCATCAGAAAGTGAAGAAGAACCTATCTAGACAATCAAACTTACTGTAATCAAGTGTCACCAACATGATTTATATTTTTTGTTAGTAAATAATCATTATTCAAACTTTCAACATCAGTAGATAATGAGACAGAATATCGTAAATGACATAAAATAACCATTTTATGATTGATTTTTTTTTTTTTTTTTTTTGTGGGGCGCTAAGCATGATTTGACAAACTGTGAGTGCCTGGATCAAGGCATTTCGAGAAGAATATTCATATGTGTCTTAGCACTCACTCTTGTGGTATTTTGGTGAAGAACCTGGCTACTTTTTGCCCTTTTCCAAAAAGTTTGCCCAATGTTAAAGTGAAGAGTTTTGGATTAATTCCATGGCAGAGGAAATCTCAAAACAGCTTGGTATAGACTCTATTGTGTGGTTATTGGTGTTAACACTGATGGAGAGTTACAATGAAAAGGAACAAGCTCAGCAAGAAAAAAATATTTGGGGAAAATGAGCACCAGCTAAGTCCTATATTCGAAGAGATGAACAAATTAAGAAATGAAATAAATCCCAGGGAAAGATCCCACCCAGCTAAGTTTCCAACTTGTGAAAAGGAATAAAAGAAAAGCTAAGATCTGGGTGTTGGTGAAGCATGCCTTTAATCCCAGCACTCAGGAGGCAGAGGCTGGTGGATCTCTGAGTCTGAGGCCAGCCTAGAGTGCAGAGTAAGTTATGATTGATTTTTTAAATAAAAATTTAAATATTACTGTGTATACCATGTAGAATTTTTAAAAGCTGACTATTTTGTAGAATAATTTTATGTCTTCTGCAAAACTGATTGAAAAAACACAGAGGCCCATGTATATTTTCTGTCCCATGGAACAGTTTGCTTCATGTCAACATCCTACACCAGAGAGGTATTTTTGTTGTAGCTGATAAACCTACATTGATGGGTCCTTACCATTAAAGGACCTTGGGTAACCAGAAGAGGTGGCTCACTCCTGTAATAACAGAACTTGAGAGGTTGAGGCCAGAGGAATGTTGTGAGTTTGATGCTTGTGTTATCTTGTCTCCAAAACAAACAAAAAGGTCATAGTTGACATAAAGGCCCACAATTGTGGGTTTTATACTCTATGGGATTTAACAAATGTCCAGTGACATATATTCATTGTTATGGTCCTATAACACAATAGTTTTACTGCCCTAAGAGTCCTGTATACTCCATCTCTTCATCCTTTATCTGATGTATTCCTGACAACTACTGATCTTTGCGCTCTCTAGTTTTACATTTTCCAGAATATCAATTACTAATATGCATTTGGATTCTCACAAGTCTTGTTATGACTTTTTTTCCTGTTTTGGTGTCCATGACTAAAGCAGCTATCAGAGTTCATGGACAAGTTTTGTGTAAATCCAAGTATTCAGTTCATTTGTATAACTGTTAAAGAGCATAATTACCTGATCGTGAATTTTTTTCAGGTTTATTTCCATTCCTATGGAAAATATTCTGACCGAAAGCAACATAGTGGAGGATGGGTTATTTGGCTTAAAATTGCAGGATGTATAGTCAGGAGCTCTGGCAGCTAGGCCCATCCATCCACAGTGAAGAGCAAAGAGCTCCTTTATATTGTACTTCATATATTTCTGACATCATCCCATATTCCTGTCCATTTCCCCTTTTAAAGTTGTGTCTTTCCCCCAACTTCTTTTGAGTTGGCTTCTTGCTCTTTTACTCTTCATGTGAATTTCACTGCTGTGTCTCTTTCCCTTTGTAGCAATGGTTCTCCACCTTCCTAATGCTGTGTTCCTTTAATACAGTTCCTCGTGTTGTGGTGACCCCTAACCATTGGATTATTGTTGCTACTTCATAACTGTAATTCTGCTACTGTGATGAATAATATTATAAATGTCGGTTTCTTGAGGTCTTAGGCAACCCCTGTGAAAATGTCATTGAACCACAAAGGAGTCACAGACCACAGCTTGAAAACCGCTGCTTTGTAGTGCTTGGTTCCCACAGCTGTACATTGCTTTCTACATTAGTAGATTGTCATTGATAGACTGGAATCCATGTGTCACAGTGTTGAAAGGTCTCTTATCAGTCTTGGTCACAGGGCTCCCTATGAGCATTCTTGGTTAGTCAAAAAAAACCATTTGACACTCCCTGTTTTGCCATCACCTCCCTTCTCCCTTGACCTTTCTTGTGCCTTACACACTTTCATTCTTTTTCTTCTGTTTTTCAAACTGTTTATACATTCCCCTTGGAGCAATATTGATTCAGCTACTTACATTTAACCACACAAGTTAAATTGTTTCAATGCCTTCTTTTTCTGTGGCAACTTTATACTGTTTGCAAATTTCTTGTGGGCTGGTCCTTCTTCATCCTCTTGTTATCCAAATCAGCTATGAGATCTGTAAGTACCAGATATGACTTTAAAAATAACTTTTTCATAGAATCCCTCCACTCTTTGTTTAGCTGGATTCACAGAGCTCTGCCCAGTGTTTGGCTGTGGTTCTCAGCATCTGCTTCCATCAGGTACTGCATGAAGACTCTATGATGACAATTAGGGCAGTCACCAATCTGATTACAAGGAGAGGCCAGTTCAGGCTCTCTTCCCACTATTGCTAGGAATCTTGGCTGGGATCATCCTTGTGGGTTCCTGGGGATTTCCATGGCACCAGGTTTATCCCTCTCCCCATATTGGCCCCCTCTATCAAGATATCTCTTTCATTACTCTCTCCTTCTGTCCTGCCCCCAACTTGACCATCCTGACCACTCATGTTCTCATCCCCCATATGCTCTCCTCTACTCCCCTCACTCCATCCCCAGTTTACCCAGGATATCTCATTTATTTTCTCATAAGGAGCAGGGCAAGAAGATAAGATCATGGTGGGGAAAACCCACAGACATCTGACATGAACTTATGGGAGCTCACAGATTCTGGAAGAACAGTTAGTGAGCTGGCATGGGATCAGCCTAGGCCCTCTGCATCTGGGTGAAAGTTGTGTATCTTGATCTTTTGTGGTGCCCCTAACAGTGAGACCAGGACATGTCCATGATGCATCAGCTGGCTCTTTGGAACCTATTCCCTATGTGGGATGCCTTGTTTATTCAACCTTGATGGGGAGCAGGGTGAGAGCTTGGTTTTTCCTCAACATGATAGGCCATGCTTTGTTGATTCCCATGGGAGGCCTTACCCCATCCAAATGGAGAAGGAGTGGGATGTGAGCTGGGGTGGTTAAAGAGAGGTGGGGGAGGGAACAAGAGGAGAGGAAGGAGGGAAAATTATTGGTATGTAAAGTAAAAACAAAAACCTGAATAAAAAGACAAGCAAAAAAAAAAAAAACTTTTTCAATGAACTGTTATTTTTCAAACCTCATTTTTTTCTTTGTGAAAAGTTTTATAGATGTCTTTGCATTACATATCACATACAAATGTACATCACTTTCCTCTGTTGTTATTAGACAAAAATGTCTAAGAAAGCTGTAGTGCAAAATACAATATAGAAATTGATAGTGCACATTTTAAAGATGATATTTAGAGATATTAATATGTTGTTATATCATAAGTTATTAGTTTAAATGTTAAAATGATACCAATTATTAATGAGGCTCCTAATAACAAAACTAAATAAGGAGAAGACCTGCGTTAAAAACTGGCAACAGCTAACATCAAACTAAATGGAGAGAAACTTAATGCAATTCCCCTAAGATCAGAAACAAGACAAGACTGTCCACTCTCTCCATACCTTTTCAATATTGTACGTAAAGTTATAGCTAGAGCAATAAGACAACAAAAGGAGATCAAGAGGATACAAATTGGAAAGGAAGAAGTCAAACTTTCACTATTTGCAGATGATATAATAGTTTACATAAGTGACCTGAAAAACTCTACCAGAGAACTCCTACAGCTGATAAACACCTTAGCAAAGTAGCAGGATACAAGATTAACTCAAAAAAAATCAGTAGCCCTCTTATATATAGACGATAAAGGGGCTAAGAAAGAAATCAGAGAAACATCACCCTTTACAATAGCCACAAACAACATGAAATATCTTGGGGTAATGCTAACTAAACAAGTGAA